GCCGACACGATGCCGCCGCCCATGCAACTGGGTCATGCAAATACGTACGGATCCGTGCTGTCTGCATCTGGTGCGCCGCCAAATTTTTTCACCCGCACAACTTTGACCGCGCCAAAGCGAGAATGAGACATTGACGGTTCGCTCCAACCGGTTCAGCACACGACCGGACTCTTGCCCGTTTGCGATCGGTAACATCTCGTTCAAATGGCCACGGGTGTAATCCTGCGCGATTGAGTCGAGGCAAGCCGAGTTCTCCCACACAAATGAGATCGCGGCGCCGCTTCACGTCGCAGGTCGTACAAATCCCATTTCTCAAGCGGTGCATCCTGCGACAAGGATGAAAATCGCAAACAGCGGGTTTTTATCAATAATATCAATGTTTCGTGCGCGACTCCGACGCATAAATTCCGCCAAATCCCTCGCTTCTCAACAGGGCCTGCTCCGCGCTCCATCGGGTGCCATGAAGGATGCGCATTCCATGGCGTGTTCGCAGCCAGGATTCGGCGCCTACTCGGTCCCTGATTCCTTGCTCGTCATAGTTTGGTGAAGATGTGTACGCTTGAGGCTCAATTTACCGCACACTAGTCCAATGGCATCCTCACGTCGTACTCTCCATTCGTGTGTCATCCACGTCCCCCTAGCTTGTTGTCGCACGCGTGTCGCATCAAGCGATCGAAAAGAGGTCGCCGACGATCGATCTCCGTCGAACGACCGAAGTCACACACACGGTGGGAGTACTGGAATCAACAGGTTCCCGCGGCGGCGGTCGTAAATAATTATGGGACGTAATACATGGCCAATCACGTCACGCGAGTGGACACGCATTTTATTGCCTACGAAAATCAAGGTTGAATATCGGTGAGGAATAATATTTCGCGCGTTTTCGATTGCAAATGGATGTTTTTTGGCAAGCCTACACTTTTCTCAGCTCCGTATACTGAAATCAAGTGATGTACCGAGCAGCAGTATTGAAACCGTTTCAGATTTCGAGGGAGTTTTGCAATCTTGCATTAGTTTCAAATTCACCCCCGCAAGAGCACAAGGCGACGGGCATGGACGAAGCATACCAGGGGCATGCTACCCCCCGCGAAAGCGAGTCGTCGTCGATCGACGCAGAGTTCGTACGACACCGTGTGGAACGCCCGACAGGCAACCCCGAAGCGGTCGTGGACCCCCGCATGTCGTACCAAGCACCTGTCAAAGTGACGGACAACAACATGACGCAAAAAGAAAACGCATCCAGCGATGAGACTGTGATTTCCGTGCACGGGTACATGCACAAGCAAGGAAAGCGATCCATCAAGGGTCCAATCCATAAAAGCTGGAAGAAGCGCTACTTTGCTCTTGAGAACGCCAAGATCTACTACTTCCAGAACGACGCGGACTGCCGTCGATACTTTTCGACACGCAACGTCGATTTGGTTGTGGGTGCTGTCGAGCTGAAGGAAGCCCTGCAACTCCGGCCGTCCGGTCGCTTGGACCTCCCCACGAAGGGATTCGAAATTCACACCAAGCGCCGCGTTTGGGTGTTGTGCCCAGAAACCGACGACGAGTACAAGATGTGGTTTGAGGGTGTGGAAGAAGCCATCGTCTCTTGTGGTGCGGGAAATGTAATCGAACGTCACCTTCCCAACGTTCGCAAGTACGTCATGAAAGGCTTGCCCACCTACCGCTTCCTGTACATCCTATTTCTTGTTGCTGGTCTGGTTGAATTGGCAGGTCTTGTTTTGTGGTTTGTAGTGGGTGTTCAACCCTGCGACCAAGCACGCCCAACCATCGAATGTCCGACCATATTGTCTCAAACCATGGACTTGTTGAAATGCGGTGATAAGCCGTTCAATGGCGTGTTCACACCTCCCAAGTTTTGGCTCAAATTCGCGGGTGTTGAAGACGTCAAGTGCTGGGCCGAACCACCTATCGGGCAATGGATTTCTTACTTTTGTCTGCTGTTGGCAGAGCTCATAAGTTTCATTCTGGGTGCCATTTACTACCTTGGCATGTGGAAACCTGTGCGTCGTGGCGCTCACTACTTGGACGAGTTCGAGCCCAAATTGCCCGACGAACAATGGCCCAAGGTTGACGTGTTCATCTGCCACTATTCTGAGCCGTCTGAAGAAACTGTCGATACGCTTGCGGCATGCATGAACTTGCAATATCCACCTCATTTGCTTCACATCTTCATTTTGGATGATGGCTATTGCAAGACCAAATGGACCAAGGGAAATCCGGTGCCGACGATCGAACTCAACAAGGGCGTGATTGAAAAGGCTGGCGACTTGCGCCAAGAAGTAGCCCAGTTCATGTATGACCGTGTGTGCGACCCGAATGACGACATGGAGTTGTATGCGTGGCGCAAGCTCCATTCGTCTGCAAACTTGCCGATGGAGTCGCGTCCTCGTGTGGTCAACCGTGCGGACTGTGCTGTTGGGTCATTCCGCGATGACTACCGCTACAGTGGCCTGCCTCATGTGACGTTTGTCGGTCGTGTCAAGCCCCCTACGCACTACTCGAAAGCCGGGAACATCAACAATGCGTGCTACAACGAAGGAGCCAATGGGCGTTATGTGGTCATTCTCGACAACGACATGCAACCGCACCCCAAGTTCATTTTGGCCACTTTGCCATTTTTCTTTGACTCTGAAGATCGTGCCTTGAAAAACAAGTACTCATGCTGCACCGGTGGATGCAACAAAGTGGCGCGTATGTGCTGTGCATCATGCAAGATTGCCGGGGTCCCTGAAGAAAAGATCAGCTATTGCTCCAAGCAATGCTTTGACAATGCAATGCACTCGTCCAGTGCACTCCACCGTCGTCAAGTGAACGGTACCATGAGCGAAAAACCCAACAAAGGATCGTCAAAACGAATTTTGTACTGCATGACATGCAACAACGTGACGAACAATCAAGGTGTGTGCAAGACCTGTATGCATCCAACCAACAACCCAGACTTGGAAGATGGACTTGCGCACTCGTCGTCACCGTACTCTGACGCAGTCAAAGACAACGCGGTCGCGTTTGTTCAGACGCCGCAGTACTTCCGCGATTGCGTCCAATTTCAAATTGGCGACCCCTTGGGCCACCGCAATGCGACGTTTTACGATGCCATTCAAACCGGTCAAGATGGGTACGACTGCGCGTCGTTCGCCGGAACGAATGCGATTTTCCGGCGCGAAGCGTTGGATTCCATTGGAGGCATTCAGTACGGCAGTTTGACCGAAGATTGCTACACGGGGCAGCAATTGTGTGCGATGGGATGGAAGGGGTTGTACTTCCGCAAGGACTTTGAAGGCGAGATGTCGGAACGCATCCGTTTGGCGGAAGGGCTGATCCCAGACAACGTGGCGAGTTCGCTGGCGCAGCGCAAGCGTTGGGCCAAGGGCAACTTCCAAATCATGCTCATGAACAAGAAGAAGAACTACTTTGACAAGGAATGGACCAAGCCTAAAGTGTCGGTTCCACCAAAGCCCAAGAGTGGTAACTTCATGCGCAAGGTGTTTTACATCAACTGCACCATCTATCCCGTCGGGTCACTCTGCGCGTTGCTGTTCTTCTATATCACGCTGTACTTTTTGTACACTGGTTATGCTCCCATTTACTTTTCCGGCCTGAAGTTGCTGTACGCGTTGGTACCCAAGCTCTTGATCCAAGGCGCTCTCTCGGCGTTGAGCAACCGCACTGTCGAAAACAACGACGTCGTCCGGTCCCAGGAAGCTTGGTTTGTTTATGCGTTTACTCATACGACGGCCGTGTTGGAGACCTTCTGGTGGAAACTCACGGGCAAGGAAGCGGCGTGGTTTGTCACAGGCAGTTCGTCGCGCGGCTCCCTCACGGAACTCCCCAACGTCATAGTGTACTTCGGTCACGTTTTTGGCTTGGTGTGGGCCCTCATTCGTTTCTTTGCCACGTACAACTCGCAGCAAACGTCGCATGGCGCGTCGTTGCTGGTGGCGAGTCTCATGATGGGGCTCTTTATCGCGACGAAACTTGGGCCCAGCGTCCGCATGAGTATCCAAGAGTACTTCGGATGGAGCTACCACAGTTTGACGGACCAGGGCAACTTTTTCGGCCAGTCCATGATTGCGTTCGGCCTGGTCTTCATCTCGTTGTGGGTGTACATTGAAAAGCCAAGTTCGAACCCGTTCTAGGCCATCGACTCGCGTTGCCCTGGCATATATAGTCTGTACACTCTCTTCTACTTTATTCAAGAAAACGCTCTGAAGATAATTGGTTCTTTTCCTCCTGAAATTAGAGTCACGTCGCTGTGGGTCGGCGGTGCGGCAATGTTCGCAGTTTGTATGGCTTGAGTTTGAACTTGCGCGTGCCCCGAACGCGCGGTGGCAGATTACTGGCCTTGGGGCTGGACAAAGGTCCTTCGTCGTCTGCGGGAAGCCCTTGCTCCTTGTACTTGGCCAAGTTGACTTGGGTCGTGACTTCCATGATGGGCTGGAATTTGCCCTTGGCGGCCGTCATCGCTCGAGCAGTGGCGGCGTCGTGCTTTGTGATCAAGTTGGTGACAATGCCGCGCTTGCCGGCGCGTCCGGTGCGTCTGCAAGGTAGAGATCGATCGTTAGCACACCGGGACACACGATGCGACCATGCCAAGTCACGAGAAACATTTCCGACACGTCCGCACAACTTGGCACTGCTGGTGGACGTACCCTGCACGATGCAAGTAGTCGACCGACGATTTGGGAAAGTCAAAGTTTATCACGTGGTCAACGTGAGCAAGGTCGAGGCCGCGGGCGGCCAAGTCAGTGCACACCAACACAGACGCGTCGTTCGAGACGAACTGTTCAAAGTTCTTCTTGCGGAGAACAGGGGGGATGTCTCCGTGCAGCGATGTCGACGGATACCCGTGTTCTTGGAGCATGTGGTCCGTCGACCGACAGCTCGCCGTCGAGTTGCAAAACACAATCGTCTTCCCTTTGCTCCACTGGGACAGCGACGCTCGCAACGCGCCGTGCTTGTCACTCGAGCCCTACGCCCGTCAAAGTGGATGTTCACAGTGAACGTAAGATGGAGAGTAGTCGAACGCACTGGCACACGAATGTATTCTTCCTTGATGCTGGGTGGCGTCTGGTGCACCCCCTTGCCGGACACGAGCTTCAAGTTCGGGAATACCGACGCAAAAACTTGATCCATCGGTGGCTTTACTGTCGCGGCCGCCAGCAAGTACTGCACGTGGCGCTTGGAGGCGAGGCCGCTGGCGCGAATCGGGCCGAGAATCTCGTCCATGATGGATCGAAACCCCATTTTCCTGTCGAGCAACGTGTCCGCTTCGTCGATCACGACGTATTCGACTCGAGACAGAAAGACGTGACCGCTTTTGATGTACTTGGCCAGTCTGCCGGGTGTAGCCACCAACACGTCGATGGGACGACTCAGTGCGACCTTTTGCGGCTTTTGCTCGCTGCCACCGGTGATGACGCACGACGAAAATTTGGCCACGTGCGACAGTTCACGCGCCACAGCGCCAACTTGCATGCCTAATTCTCGGCTTGGAACCAGCACAATAGCCTTAGGACGGCTCACTTCTCGACGCACAAGGTCGATTGGGTTGGTCGTGCTAGCAATGGATTCGTCGACTGTGGCGGCCTCCTTGGTGCGCTTCGCCAACAAGAGCTGACGCTTCTCAGCCCTGCGAATCTTCTCCACAACAGGCAAGAGATACGCCAACGTCTTGCCGCTGCCAGTTGCATCCGTACAGATAACGTCGGCACCATTGAGAGCGGCCGATATCGTTCGGTCCTGGATGCCTGTTGGAGTGTCCAAGCCCTTATTGCGTAGCGCTTCACACAGTTCTGGGCTCAGACCGAGGGACCTAAAAGTCGACGCGTGGCGCACCGACGCATGGACATTGGTGTGGCGAAGAACAGCCACCGAGCGTGACAGCAACAAGCGAGAGATCATGCCGTCGGACACGCTTCAAGTTGGAAGTTGAATGCTGCAGTGCATTGATTGGAGGAGATACCCTTCAACAAAGTATCAATGTAGAATCAATTTGATATGTAACACAATTTAGCTGAATACAACATTTTATTCTGTAGCGCAGCATAGCCATTATGCCCGAGTGGTCTAAGGGGGTGGACTTAAGATCCACTAGACGTTCGTCTGCGTGGGTTCAAACCCCACTGATGGCAATTTTTTCATTTCGAAACGCATGGCACATGTGTGCACTCTATTCCGCGTGACTTTCACCATGTGCATGGGCGCTGACTTGGTAAGGTCACGGCGCCAAAGCGGAATGTTTAGCACTTGCAAAGAGTCGTCGATTGTGCACGGGACTGCCATATCGCGAGTTTTCCCCTTTAAGCAATGCAACGGCTGAGGTTGGTTCTCTCAGCCATCCTGTTGGTGTTTGTGGCCGCCTTGACAGCTCAGTCGTCCGACGGGAATGCTGCGAACTCATCGGTAGCACAGCTATTCGCGGATACCAACACGACTGTGATTCCAGGCGATGGTAACAACAACCCGGTTCTCGTTCTGCTTCAAAGCGTGGTCAACGTGACCGCCAACTTCAAGAAGTCCCTTAACGTGACGATCCCGATTGATCCAGCACCCACGCTTTCCAACACCAACACAACTGACTTTGGCTTGCTGAGATCTTCGGGTGTCGGTCCTGTGACAGTGTGGCCAGCCCTCGTTGCCGGCGCGTGCATTGGCCTTGGGCTTGCCGTCCTCTTCTACGGGTACAAGCTGTTTCGCCCGACTGTGTTTCTGTTGTCGTTTGCTTTTGGAGCGATGGTGGGGTATATGACAGCCGAGCGTGTTTATTCACCAACGTCGGGATCGTTCTACATTGTGTGCTGGAGCGTGTTTGCCGTATGCGGTTTGCTGTGTGGCTTTGTCGGGTTGTACGTGCTCAGTGTGGGGGTGATGCTTGTGGGAGGCACTGGCGGCGTCGTCCTAGCGTTCCTCCTTACGACTTCCTTCGGGCACAAGTGGTGGCCGACATACCCCGATGGAGTTTTGTTCATTTTGATGGGCGTCCTCGCGCTCACGTTTGCAATCTTGTGCTACACTGTGGAGAAGCCGATGCTGGTGCCGATGATGGCGCTGACAGGAGCAGGCGCGGCCGTATGGGGGGTTGGGTATTTTGCCGGCGGGTACGCCAATGCGGACGACTTGTCTGTGTACCGCACGTCGAATGCATTTGGTGCCGTGAGCTTCGCTATTCCCAATTCGTACTGGATCTACCTCTGCGCAACGATCCTCTTGGCGCTAGTCGGGACGTTCATCCAGTTCATGAACACGGCGTGCTGTGAAAACAACGCTTTGTACACGTGGGAGACCCATGGCGACATCGAAATGGAAGTGCGACGAACAACGTACAACCAACAGCCACGACGATATGAAGGCTACGGCTACGGTCGTGGCGTGCGCACCCGAGACAATTACTACCATCGCCACGATCACCGCCAAGGGCCTTACTAGTGTAGCACTCGAGACACTCAAGACGTTGACCTCTACATAAAACCAAGCGTACACCCCACTTCCGCGCAAGACGCGTCTACGCCATGGCTTTTGCGATAACGAAGGCCAAGGAGGAGGCCAAGGCTGGGCAACAGGCAGCGCCATCATGATCTCAAATGCGATCTTTCCAACTTCTTCAGCTTCGTGGGCAGAGCTGGTGCAGTTGGCCAAGTCACCAATGCGATTTAATAGCACACGATTGAAATGCCCCTAAATCCGGATTTCATCCGGATACGAGTTTGAATGAGTTTTAGCGAATCCAGGTTTGGCGGTTTGCCTGCTGCATGGAGGACGACGAATGGGACGACGCAGCATGGGCGGCCGTCGCGATGGAGGCCGACCTTGTTGAGAGTGCCATCGTCGCTGAGCGTCATGGTCCCCAAACCACGTCGGCGCCAAGCGATCAGTGGACGTGCCCACGATGTACATTGCATAACCGAAATACCGAAGCGAAGTGCTCCGTGTGCGACTTTGCTCGGGCCACTGCGTGCCAGCCACAACCTGTTTCATCCGAACGAAATGCATCACCGCTGGTGCGTGGGAATTCGATGTCGTCTTGGCTCTCAAAACCACCACCGCCTACGACGAAGGCTCCTCGGAAACGCTCGCCACCACCGTCGCATGACACTGTTGCTATTGCAGAATCCGTCTCGATGCGTCAGCCGCTGTCCCATGTTTCATCACCTGCAGCTGCACTACCACCGCGTCCGCGTTCTACTCTTGCGGTTCCAAGCACTCAGATGACGCTGACATGTCTTCCGAACCCAATGGAAATTCCAGAAGAATCAGTGGTGATGGGCGCCGAAATCGATCGGGACCTCGCGACGCAGTGGCTCTACCCAAGCAACTACCCCGTGCGAGCGTACCAGCAATCGATCTCCCGTGCTGCGTTGTATCAAAACACGCTCGTGTGTTTGCCCACGGGCCTCGGGAAGACACTCATTGCTGCCGTCGTCATGTACAACTTTCACCGGTGGTTTCCGCGCGGCAAAATCGTGTTCATGGCGCCAACAAAGCCGCTCGTGAGCCAACAGATCCAAGCTTGCCATGATGTGATGCCGATCCCCCAGCACGACATGGCCGAGCTCCAGGGCAACGTTGCCCCGTCGAAACGCAAAGCGCTCTGGGCCACGAAACGCGTCTTCTTTTGCACGCCTCAGAGCATGCAAAACGACATTGAGCGCGGCAACTGCGACGTCCGGTCCTTTGTCTGTGTCGTCGTCGATGAAGCCCACCGCGCGACGGGAAATTATGCGTACTTGACGGTGATCAAGGCGATTGCTGCCAAGATATCTGGCTTTCGCGTTCTCGCCCTGTCGGCCACACCAGGGGCCAAGTTTGATGTCATTCAAGACGTGATATCCAACCTGCGCATCTCGCACATCGAGTGCAAGAACGCCGACGACCCCGACGTCCGGTAAGACTGATTTCGACTCTGGCCATTCCCCAGACCCGGCAGCACGATGAGTCCACACCATCTTTGACTCATGGCGACTTGGAAACATCCATGCCAACAGCGCAGAGGATGCTGCGGCGTGCTGATGGACGACCTCGCTAGGATGTACACTCATTCGAGGCAAGAAGAGATCATCCGGTGCAAGATGAACACCGAAGTCACAGAGGTAAGGAAAGCAAGACGACTCGACGCAGTGGCTCGTCCAGGGCGCATCTGGTGTTTTTCGATGGGTTTTGAAAGGCGGGGACGAGAATGTCGGCCTCATGGACCGGTTGGTCGAGTTGTAGGTTCGAACGCAATACATCAAGTTGTTCCAGCCGATTCTGCATCGCTTGTGCAGCAGTCAGGTACGTTGTGGTGCAGTCGTTTGTTTCGTTCCCATCTTACACGAAAGGCTGATGTGGATGGCTTGCAGGTGCTACACATTCGCGACCCCGAAAAACTCAGTCGATGGATCGTGATCACATCGCGCGACAAGATGCGGGCGAACCCGAATGGCGGCCGACCGTACCGCACCGCGGAAGCCGACCTGGCCTTGCTGGTACGTGCAGCTCCGCCGGCGCGTTGTAAGAGCGACGAGTTGACAAGTGGATCTCTTCAGATCAGCCTTCTCCACGGCAAAGACATTTTGAACGTGCATGGGATCGGGAATTTCACTGCATTTTTGGACAAATTTACCAACGAAAACTTTTCAGGGTGCGACAACGCCGGAACGATTGCTGTGTTTGACATTCTGGTCGCTGGTAGACCCAAGAAATTGGTCGTCGAGTCGCCTGAGTTTGCCCACCTCCAGGCTCTCGTCCATGCCCAAACTGGCGGCGGTCGGGCGGCGGCCAACAACCCAAAGCTCGTGCAGCTGCAGCACGTCCTGTCGGAACACTTTACGCGGCACAAACAGGGCGGGTCGAGCACGCGATGCATCGTGTTCACGCAGTATCGGGAAAGTGTGACGGAAATCGTGGCGCTGCTGGCCACGATGGCGCCGTTGATCAAGGTACAACAATTTATTGGACAAGGCACGAGCAAAGGCAAGGAAGGGAAAGGCCAGACGCAAAAACAGCAGCAGGAAATCGTCGCCAAGTTTCGCGATGGCCATTTCAACGTGCTCGTCGCGACGTGCATTGCCGAGGAGGGCCTGGACATTGGCGAAGTTGACTTGATCGTGTCGTTCGACTGCCTGACGTCGCCCGTTCGGTACGGAAACCCGATTTGCGTGGAATTCTAAACTGGTTCACGTTGGAAGCATGATTCAACGGATGGGACGCACGGGTCGCAAGCGCGTCGGCCGCGTCGTCCTCTTGGTGACCGAAGGCGACGAAGAAAAGAAGCTCGAGCGAAGTGTGTCGGCGGCCAAGTCTGTCAATCGATCGCTCACGATCTTCAAAGACAAGTTCAAGTGTGTTCCAAGTGCGCGCATGGTGCGACGGGGGATTTGCCTGCCGACGAATGTTTGCAACTTGCAGCGATCGCTCACGCGTGTGTGCGTTGGTAGGTTCCACGTGGAATAACTCCGCGATTGACGGAGAGCTCCATGACCGTGCCGGCCTTTCAAGCGGCCTTGATTGGAGGCATGAAGGGGGCGAAGAAGGGAGCTGTGGACTCGACGGACGATTGGCGCTTGAACGAAGACGAAGTTGGCCTATTTTTTCGTGGCAATGGATGGCTCACGTGTATCGAATAGAACCACGTGCTGCATCTCAAGCACCTGGGCCATTTCAAGCGCCCGACGCACTTGTTTTCGCTGCTGTTGCCTCTGCCATTGAACGACTATTCCAAGCCGCATCATTTTGGCAAGTCCCGTCGGTCGAGGTGTTTGTTGCAGCTCATGCATCGCGTGCAAGAAAACCACCGCATGACAAATGCCGAGTTTGCCGACCGATTCCGCCAGGCGCAGGTGGCGCAGCGGCCACCGCACAGCTCCAACGTGGTTGGCGACTCTTCAACTCGTCAAGGACATGACGGGGATGAGGATCGGGAACGAGTTTCTGACGAGCGAAACCAATCCTCGACGCACCAAGACAACGACAAAGGCATATTGGAGCAATCGTTCCCGCTCAGCTACGATGACGGCGTCGTCATGAGCATGGAGCCCGCGACATGGCCTCCCATAGCCCCCAACGGCAACGTTCCAGATACCCCGACGAGGGCCATCGGCAACGCCCCGGACAAGGCGGCCAGCGACGATGTAATTGAAATTCTATCATCACTAGAAGACAAGTGTAGCCCTGATGTGGATGACAAGAACGCCAGGCGACAAGATCGCGAGACGCCGTGCGACCACAACCCACCCAGCGCTACAGCGCCCGTCGTTTTCTCACTGTTCAGCCGCGATCGAGCGACTGCGGACGCATCACCTCCACCAAAACTCCCTCCAAAGTCCAAGCAGCACGGCTCCAAGGCGAAAGCGAACGGGGTCCCTTCCATCAAGGGAAAAACAAGCCCAAAGATGGACTTGTCGCCGCATCCACAGTCGAAGAATGAAGTTGGTCGGGAGCGAGACGCGGTACCGGATGTCGCTTGCGTCTTGATGTCGACCAGCGTGACAAAACCTCGTCAAGTGAAATCCCCCATGAGCTTTGCACTCAACACGTCCGTCGGGATCATGCAGCAAGGCGAGCAAGTCATTGCCATGTTGGAGCACCTGTCCGCGCTCGAAATGAGCGCAACCACAACCCATGACGACGGCCAACCGACCCCAACGACTCGGATCCCGTCCTCTCCACCAACAGTGCCGTCCTTGGGGCAGCCACGTCTGCCCCTCCCACGTCTATTCGATGCTGCCAAGCCGTTGCCATGCCGTCCACACAACCAGGATACGCTTGTCGTGCCCAACGCTCCAACGAAAGCAAGTCAAGGCCCTGCGCCAGTCAGTACACGGTCGAATCAACTCGCATCAGCTCAGCACGAGAATTCGTCGGAGCTGGTGGATAGCCATGACGCCCAAGTATCGTTGGATGCTCCCACCGCCAAACACGACGGCCGAGACATCGAATCCAACTTCACCACGAATAGCTTGGATTCTGAACATGACGAGGAGTCGCCGCCACTGAAAGCTCTCCATGCGATCCCTGGACCGAATGTTATGTCAAACGGGCTGAGAAAAAGCTGTCCCGCCAAGAAGTCGCTGCAGCGCTCCTTCTCGATGGACACCGACCATCCGTTGACGAACCCTGTGGTCATTTCTACGGTCAAGAGCGTTCCAGACTCGCCTGCTGCGTTGGAAACCAGAATCAATTTACAAGAACCACCCAAAGTAACAAAGTTGCCAAGCGGTACGCCAACGCGGGGGGTCGCGATGGCCCCATCCATCAGAGCAAGTCCAGGCGCCGGGGTGCAGCCTCATGGAGCAACATCAGCGTCGACGAGCAACGTTATGACTTTCTCGAAGCGCATGCCATCGCATAGAAGTTTGAACGGCATGCCTATCGAAGACGACGCATTTGTGTCTGCGACGGCAGCAACGCCAAGTCCTCACGGTCGACAACGCGCAATTCAAAGTCTAGAGGCGCGGCGCCACCCTGGCACACCTTTGCAGGACGATTGCCAAGTGTGCGGCGACGATGAAGCGACCGACGCGGACCCGATTCTCTTTTGCGACGGATGCAACGTTGCCGTTCACCAACACTGCTACGGCGTGGCTGCGATTCCCCCCCACGACTGGTTTTGTGACGTACGACTTGGTCCATGTTGTCTTGTGCTCATCTAGGTGGTAGGCTTGCCAGGACAAGACCAAGCCGACCAAGTGTGTGCTGTGCCCCGTCCTGAAAGGTGCGCTCAAGCAGACGCTGTGCAAGCAATGGGTGCATGTGCAGTGTTTCCTGTGGTATGGACCGCGCTCGATCGCTTCCACCAATGTGACCCGCTTGGGCTCGACAGGATTCCAGAGCTCGCCGTGCGGATGCAACAAGGCGGAGGGATCGGTCTCGGCTCGCTGGAAACGCTGGCAAGTTTGACGACAATTGGATTGTCGTACCAGCGGCGAAACATGTTGTGACGAGGTCTCGTAGGACGCGGAACGGTTTGCGCTCAAGTGCGAGGTGTGCCGCACCGCCCACGGGTTTGGAATCGTGCAGTGCGCGCACCGATCGTGTTTGAAAGCATTTCATGTGTCGTGTGCGTCGAGTGCCAAGTATCAGCTGATACAAGTACGCCGACAGAGTTTTGGTTTTCCGTCGAGACGATCCATGAGTAGGCGGAAGGAGTGGAGAGCGCGCAATTCCTCGTGTACTGCCCGATCCACATGTCCAAGCGGGAAGCGGTCACCAGCTCGCGCATTTTGTCGCCAAACGACGGGATGTTTGACACGCCTGGGTCCGACCACCGGCCCCGAAAACTCCGCAAACGCCTGCGCACAGCAGGAGACAAGCGGTCGTGTCCAAGTGCCAAGCGCCGACTGAAAACGCCCACGGCATCGAAGCAACTACTGTCGCACTACATTGAAATGGAAGCCGAGGCCGACGAAGTAGGGCGTGGCTCGACCGACGCTTCTTGGATGGAATCGAAGGTGTGTCTCAATGCGTGGAGATTCTTTTGTAGGACCATTCGGCGGACGAGGACGATGAAGATGGGCAGGGCATCGACAGCAGCTTCATCGACGACGGGAGTCCGTCGCAGTTGTTGTCGCCCGATTCGATGCAAGCCATCTATCGCCGTCGAGAGTCGACGTCGCCGTCGTTGCTGCTACGACACGTGCCGACGAATGGTGTCGTGGCGGCATGTTTGCAAGCGAATGGAGTCGACATGGACTCGAGCGTCGACTTGGGTGAAGTGCTGCATCACGGAATTACGTGCATGGAGTGTCAACTCAATCCGATTGAGGGCGTTCGATACAAGTGCCAGCGATGTCCGTCGTTCAATTTGTGCATGTGCTGCTACAGCGCACGTGAAGACTTTCACCCGCGCGACCACATCTTTCTTGCGCTCGAGACGTCAAGCCAAACGTCGCCAAGCCCAACACAACCACCACCTCAGCGCGGAACCGCGCCGATCCCTGCGCCACAGCAACCAACTGGCCAACTACAGCCTCCTACCCCATCGCTCATCCACCCACAGAGCGCATTCAGTCCGTCGGTGCGCGACGCAGGAGCTCGCGAGGCTCGTCTTCCGGTCTTTCCTTCACCAACAACAGCCCCGGTTGCTCCGACTGCAAAACTACATGCAACGAATGCCGCAGAATTAACCGCCGATCAAGTCGAACGAATGGAAGAGAGTCGACGAAAAGCATTGGAGTTGAAGCGAAAACGTCTTGAAGACAGCCGTCGCAACCAGCCAACCCCTCACGTTCTGCCACCCACTTCCACGGCACGTTCAAGTGCCACAAGCATGGCCACTCCACTCGGACCAGGCACGACGATGCCGGAGGAAGCAAGACCAATACATCCCATGCCATCCTTGGCCCCGCCAAGAATACCATCGCCCGTCGAGAGTGCCGCCGAGGGGGTGGCCGACATGCCGTCGTTCAATCTGCTCCCAACATTCCACTCGAACGCCATGGCTCGATTGCCGTACTCGATTGCCTATCATCCTCGGACAAGGTCGTCGCCGCTGCTCGTGGACGTGTTTCATCACGATGCGTTGCCCAAAGTGGCCGAGGCGTCGCTCGAGTGCGATCTCTTACTCAGCGCCAGGCGACCTGTTCAAATCCTGTCGTTCACCGAGTTCACCCGCCAGCTTCACCTTTCTCATTGTCCTGATCTCAACATCCTAACCGCGTTCGGCAGCTTGACGTATTTCGTGCACTCCTCTCCACAAGTACGTAGAGCGTGCATGTGCTCGCTGCCATCACACGCCTTGCACAGGCGCCACCACCACAAGAATGCGCAGCGTACGCGGCCAAGCACGTTGGCATGAACATTCAGTGGATCAAAGACCGTGGCCACACGTTACGCCAAGTGCTCGAGCTCTCGAGGTTTGTGGATCTTGCAATCTTCTCGTCACTTGAAGACTGTCTGCCTTGTAGCCAAGATGCAAGGGAAGGGCATGGCTTGAGCCAGTACGACGGCGGCATTGGAAAGGATCCGTTCTACATGGCCCGGTGGAATCTGTTTCATGCAGTACCCGACCTCCCGTTTGGCGGCCAGCAAGCCCTCACCACTCGATTCACCAACATGCCGGTAGACAATCTCGTTCGCATGAACACCCGGTTCAACCCCATGCATTGGAAACGCATGCTGCCGTGGCTACCCGACTTTATCGCGCACAGCATCCACGACTACTTGTCGAAACTGTGATCCGAGTACAGACCCCCCCCTATTTAGTCTGTTTCTTACGCGTCGGTCGAGATCATCGACTCGATCAACTTGACAGCACCATCGATCGTCGCGTCGTCCTTGCAAAACGCAATGCGCACGAGCGCAGGTGACGGTTGGTTGGCCACGTTCGAGTAGAACGGCGACGTCGGGATCACCGTTAGCCCTTGCTCCATGCACATCTTCTTGGCCATTTGGTAGTCTGGGCGGCGCTATACCACGTCAACACGATTCCGTTGAGAGAAGACCGTTGGCTGGTGCAGGACGCACCTCGGCTGGCAAGTCGGTCTCGGCTTCCAAGTGCCGAAATTCGTTGTACGAGTCGAGGCTAGACACGTTGCAGCACACAAAGTACCCGCCGTCCGGCACGATGGGTTTCAGGTTGGCCTTTTCCAGCGCATCGACAATCGTGTCTCGCTTATTCTAGGCACATCATGAGCGCCCCAAGCGACGACACGTCGAACCTCGAGAAGCTTGGGCAGGTCGTTCAAGTACCCGTTCGTGGCGGCTGCCTGGAAGCCCTTGGCCACAGCCAATTCAAACGGAAGCGCACCGCAGAATGGAATCGCACTATGGGTCTTTGCCACGAGGTCGGCATACTTTTGGGGCATAATCGCATAACTACGTCAAAGCCACGCTTGAGAGAGAGAGATGTGCATGTCGCGACGCACCCAACGCGCCATCCTGTGCACGAAAACGTCTTGCCAGCGCTAAAGAGCGAGATCACGCGGTCAAACATGCCGTCGTACGTGGCAATGCGCTCGTGGGGGGTGCCCTCGAAGCACGCAAACTCGTACACTTCGTCCGACAGAATTGTAATCTACATCAATTTTCCCCATGACTCTACAGGATGAAGGAGGTAGGAGGCTGTACCTGGGGATGGCGCTTCAGGACGCCCAGAATGCCCTCCAACTCATCCTTGGAAAAGACTTTGCCCGTCGGGTTATGGGGCGTGTTGAGCACGATCATTTTCGTCTTGGGCGTGATGGACGCCTCCAACTTGGCCAAGTCGATCTTGAGGTCCTTCGAGCTAAACTTGTCGCGGCACGACGGGTCATTGTACTTGGCCTTGGTCGCAACGTCCATCTCCAACGGCACGCCGACAGTCTTGATTCCCAAGAGCAGCGCAATGTTGACATACGCGTCAAAGAACGGCTCGACAATGAGCACTTCGTCGCCTTTCGAAAGCAGCGACAGGAAGATGCAAAAGATGCCTTCTTGCGCCCCCGTGAACGTGACGATTTCCGTCAGTGGGTTCAGTTCGCGCTTGTACCATGGAGAGTACAAGTCCGCCAACACCTTGACCAATTCGGGGTTGCCTCCCGGACGCGTGTACTGGTTGTTCTCGCGTTGAATGGACTCGATCGCAGCCTCTTTCACAAACCTACGCACACGACATGACGCGTTCTGGTCGATATTGGGTATCTCTCCTGGAGGAGCAACGAGGTCTTACGAGGGGGTGCCGTATGATGGAAACCCCTGCCCCAAGTTGAGCGAGTTGTGCTTCACGGCCAGGCCCGAGAATTCGGCAAACACATTCTTACGGAGGTTCAACGCAGGCGATGACAATTCTGGAGCGGTCGAGAACCCGCGGCGCCACAACCCCTGTCGCAAGGATCGGTGAGGAAATGCCGCCAACATGGGGCGCAGATTCGTTGGCGGTCTCCGAGAGGTGTGATCACCCATGGCGGCAGCACGAGATGGCCCAATGGCATCGCAGAATATCGAATACGTCGTTTGGATTGGATAAATAGAATTCAATAACAGCCAATGCGGTGTCTGTATTGGAGTACGACAGTGTCAAGGTGGGTGCGACAGAGATGTCGATGTGAACTCGGCGTGTTGGTCGGGCAATTTCATTTGGCCGATTGTATCGGATGTTTACAAACCGATGGATGCCTTGATGACAAATATCTGCTTCTATCCACAAATTCGATAGAAATCAAATTATTTTATGTTCTAGTATACATAGAGGGCACAGTCAAGTTCGAATGCTGACACAAGTATTCGTACTTAATCGAATCGAACACAGGTCCCTTCTGTGAGGTGTTCGAGATGCGACAAGTTAACATGTGTCTCATGGCGGCCGCCGTGACGAACGTCCGACGGAGAGGATGCAAGACGCCTCCATGTTCCTCGCCGTCTCGATCGGTTGTGGAGGTTGATGGCGCAGCCTGCAAGTACGCATACGCTGCGCCGGCATGCCAAATCGCCGGATGCGGTCGTCGAAATGTCGTCTGGACTGCTGCGGTGGAGAGTCTGGACGCAAGAGAACAACGGCGAAGGTCGATCGCACGCCGGCCTTGGCGCGGCGAGGAAGATCCAGAAGTTGCACCCAGCAACTCGCCAGTGGCAGCAGCATTTTGCACCAAACTTGTCTGCGGTTGAGCGAAGTGGTCCTTGTCTATACAATTTCGAAATGAACGACCCCACAACAAGCCTCAAAACAAGTCAAATTGGTGAGATGCTTCCAACGGGATTGCTTAGCTCCTTCCTGCGACGGATCGAACCTGTTTGTTTGTTTGGTAGGCGACACCAATGACGGCGAGCGGCGCAGTTCACGCAAGGTGTACGCCCCCACCGCACGCCATCGATCACCTGGTGGCCAGCTAACATTGTCGGCGAATGCAACGGCCGATCCATTTGAGCGTGCGAGAAGTCGCTGTGCCGGAAGGACAGAGCTCGATGACTCGCCCTCGCGAGTGCATTGAAACACGCGCCACCAGCCGTTCGAAACCAGATCACGACGGCATCGACAGTGTTCGCCTACGTTCTATCACACGAAGTTGCCAAGATACAACTCGGTGTTCGCGTACCCAAGGAGAAATAGCTAGGGACGCCACCTCCGACGGTCTGCGCCTACCCATGGCGCGCTGTCGGACCGCTGCGACTGCCCCCGCGACGCCGTCCGCGGCATCGCCTCTCCTCAGCCGTCATCGCGAATGTTGACGGTACGACAAATTCGCTTCGAGTGCGATTTGATTAAGTGCGATGTCACCTTGAAGTTGGCGGTCACTCGGAATTCTGATTGGCTAGAATTCGAATTCTTTTTCAGGATGTCGCGATCGAACCAACGGGCCATTGCTGGTTTTTGCACGCGGCGGACGAGACGGCGCGATGGAGACATGCCATTTCAACGGGTGCGAGGAGAAGGTGCGACCGGGGACGCAAAAGTGCACGTTTCACCGCAAGAAAGGCATCTGCAGTGTCAGCGAGTGCCGCAACCAGGTGTATGCACGCGGGTTGTGTGTCCGACACGGCGCGCGGAAACCGTGCGAATTTCCCGACTGCGACGGGTTTGCCCGGTACGGCGGGTTTTGCTGCAAGCACGGCGACAAGTACACAATGAAAGAGTGCGTGGAAGAAGGATGTGTGAACAAAGCCCATGCGCGCCAACGGTGCGTCCGACACGGCGGCGGCAGGAAATGCAAACGGCCAGGATGCGACTCCCACGCCCGATGCAACGGGTTCTGCTCGAAACACATGGAGACCGCGATGACGGCCGAGTCGCTCGTGTCGCTGGCTAAACCGTTCTTGTCAAGACCGTCGATGCGGGACATTTGCGCTGCCCTCGAACCACAGTTTAGTCACACGGCCCTCGACACGAGCCCCCTCGCGACCAGAAAACTGCCGTCTATCAAGCTCACGTACGAGTACAAGCCGTACTTTGTCGTGAATGCATGACAAGCCCCGTGGTCTCATTAGAGCAGAGGACGCAGCGATGTGGCCACGTGGCACCCTAAATGTCGAAGTCGTGATGATGCCGCGGTTCAAAGGGGCCCGACTCCACGACAATAGTAGGCACAACAGTGCAGTACCATGTAGATCGAACGAGACGTGCTACGTTAGCTTCATCATCCTGTCCTTTCATTCATAATGCACGGCAGCTCGACCGACCGCAAAGGGGGCAAGGGAACGAATTGCGCGACCGAAAGCAGCACAAGCGTCGTCCTTGGGATGGCTATCACTCCAGCGGTGGTGGACGCTTCTGGTGCTTGTGGTCGTACGGACAATGACGTGGGCGGGGATTGCGACGCAAGTCATGGCCCAGGTCATTACAGCCTTCAAACGCATGCACGGGGCCATCGACGTCGCATCCCACTAGTTCATCCATCTCTGTACCACCAAACAGCTTGTCATGGGGCCGCCACGTATCTACGTACCATTCGTTTTGATCGACCTGAGGGTTCGCGACGACCGCACAATGTTCAACAGGGAATGGATGGTCAGGACGAATTCTCGTGGGTGGTCTGTACGACCTGTTGTCGACGTCGTTGGTCGAGTTGCGCTCGGGTGAGATTGGGCAACACGAGGAGGTGGAGCGATTGTTGTGGGCGGATCTGCGTGGGCAAGCTTGGGGCCACCGCAGTTTCATTGTCTGCTACATTAGTGCTACAAGTAGACGCTACCATCACCCCTGCAGCTGCCGACAGAATCGACGGCCGCTCGCTCCTACTACATAAAATGCACACATGTGGCTGTGCAGCCATCGAGAGGATGCACCGAATTCCAGCTCTCCTCCACGGAAAATGGTTGAGTCATGCTCTATTGAGGACGGACAGCATGCGCTTGCATGCACGATGCGTGGCCATCGTATGGCGATCGGCGAGGTCGACAACTCTTGGCGCGTGCGACACGGCGGAGTTGCGGTCAGATATTCGCGAGGCGGGGTCGACGCAGTCGGTGCATTCTGGACGTGAACCGTTCGTCAAAATACATGGACCGCTTTGTCTTCGTGGATGCGATCGTAGATAATCATGCGCATGCGTCGTTGCTTGGTTTGAAGCCTCGTGTATGGGATCTTTTTGCCACCAACGAACGTTTCCCGCTTATACAAGTGCTCAAGGGGAATCTTGACGGGGACGGCGACTTTCTGCTTTGGAGACGGAGTCGCTTCGATCGATGGGTCGACCGAGGTCGGCATGACTGCTGGTGGCGCAAGTTCCTCGTCGTCGGTCACGCTGACCGTGGACTTGCGACGGCGCCACTGCAAAAACATCTTCGGTCGTTCGGATGCCTTGTCAAGGCGCTTGTGCAGCGGATCAACCACCGACCTGACCCATCCCGACGACGGCCATCGCAGCTTCATTTCCGCAAGAGCCAAACTAATTGTCCAACGAGTGAGCATTCATGGCACGCGGGAAATATCTTGGAATTTGTATGGAACGCGGGTGCCACCCATGTATGGGATCGTTTACACGACATACTCAAATCAAGATGAATCGTCCTTTGGATTTGTACCGACGACGTCGTGTATCACCCTGGCGCTCCACATCGTGCCGGCCAACCCCCCCGCCGTGCGATCCAGACATAGCTACACATATCAAATAGCATACTGCGTGCACTACACAGGAGCATCCAATGCGCTGCCTTGCGGCGACGGCGTCGTCAACTTTGACTGCAAACGGAGTAGTATAACATGAGGTCGCTGGTCGTGAAAAAAGGTGCCGTGGCCGGCATGTGCTGTACGACAGGCATGTCCAGGAGTATACAAAAATCAAGTCAAGCGCAGCAAAGACGAACAACCGAGCGAGGCCGCGACAGCGACACCCACGCCTGCCAGCGGCATGTGGGTGCATGGAGCGCCAACGTGGGCGAGGGAAAGAGCGTAGGAGATTGCCCAGCGGGTGATAGTGATGGTCCGATGACACGGATCAGATGCACCAAGGGAAGGCGCGGTCCAAGCACACACGCACCACTTGCGGCGATGAATAAATACGTGTTGAATTGTACAGCAGGTGGACACTACGGTTTCTACGCGTCAATCAGGTCCGCTTCCTCGGGGATCGACGGGTAGCGACGAGCGCGTCGTGCCTTGGCCTTGACCTGCCTTCGGGTAAACGGCACGTTCTTTCCACCAACGCAGTTTGTGCGCTGGAAAAGGTATTCTTGAGGAACTTCCACGGGTCGAGTTGTGCACGCGACGTACGGCGTCTCGACAAACTGTGGGAAGCGGTGGACGGGGCTGTTTTCGGGTGTACTCTGCGGCGTGGTTTCGACGGCACTCGCCTTGCTGCGTCCGAAGAGGCGCCACTTGCGGGAGGACGTTGTGGGTTGTGGCTTCAATTCAAACGGATGGCCTCGCTTCGACGAGGTGCGCACGGATCGTGAGAACAAGTTGTTCCAGAGCATCGTCCAGTCTTGGTGGGGTCGGTGGCAAGATGGTAAATGACATGACACCTCCGTGGGCGCTCCATGTGGGATCCTCGGACGCCGCTGTCTCCGAATTTGTATAGGACACTGGAATGTCACTAAATAGACCAATCAAATGCGACCATCAACAAATAAAGAACCCTGTCGGCAGGAAGTTGTTGACGCTCTCGGAATTCGGATGGACATCCTGGTGCGCATCGACTCGACCGGGTGGCACACTCTCCGTGCCGCCAACGCTGGGTGGCGATAGCGTCGTGGCCGATCCTCGAATTCAACCTTCACAACACTCCCGATGCATTCTTTGCATAGAGGAGGCGGTGGTGATGGCGGCAGTCCCTCGAGTGAGGCACCATCACAACCTGCAAGAGTAACAATATGGTACCACATGGTGGGCTCCACCCACCGTGACGCGGCGGATTTAGTTGTTCGCGGCTGAATTCACAGAGCACGTTCGAACAATCGAGTGCGGGTGGAATCGGTGGAGAGAGACAGCTTGTTGCTCGTCGCTCCGCAAGATGACATGGCTGTGCTGCTGATCGGACGACGATTCCGATGGCTCGGCATCCTTCGACAGCCCCGACGCGACCAGCAACCACTGTCAGGAAAACTCTCAACAGTACGACAATCGTGTCATCGACCTTCAACGAATTACAGTTTTCTCGTAGCAGCTGTCGTAGTGAGTTGTTATCCTACTTCGCTATCCGTTGTTTCTGGAAGGCGATTGTACAAGATCATGCGGCCCCTCTGTCGTCGCACCTGCTGCCTTGTGTAGGGCACATTGACGCCGCCAATGCAGGTTGTCTTGGCCCGCAGGTACTCGGGGGGAATTGGAACGGGCACGATCATCTTGGGTGGGCTTGGGTCGGGGGTCGATGTCGGACCTCCGACAGACACCAACGTTTCTTCCAACTCGACAAGCTATTGTCGTCGCGTGAAGAGTCAGGTCCAATTGGAGTTCCTCACATGTTGCAGGCCGGTTGGCGCGATGCTTTCTTGAAGGGATGGCCATGGGGTCATTCACCTTTGGCAGGCGAACGGGTCTTAATTGCGTTATGGAATCATGACGTGGATTCAAATTTGAATTTGACACACACTCCGTTTTTGTACACCTCTCATTCTATGAATGATGGTGGATACATCGTGGATTCTTTGAATCCACCATGTCAACAAGATTTTTTGTCAAGAGATGTCGGTGGCTTTGCCGTCGTTGTCGGCCCAACGGACGGATTTGCATGCAATTGACATGGTGCAGGTCGAGCGCAGCTCAAGATGTTCACAAGCCGCGCATTGCTATTGACGCTTTATGCGGTGCTTGTCGCCAACGTCGGTCGGAATTTGTCGGAACAAAGGCAGCTTCGGTTCTTGCTGTCGACCTCTGCAGCTCATGTTGGTACGTTCACTGCGTATGGGCTGGCATGTAGCGACTAGCGTGCGGATGCGAATGCCTGGATTGCCATTGCCAGTGACACTCGTCGCCTTCGTCAATGATGCTGCATTGTTCTACCTCTTAACGACGTTTCTTGGCCTGAGCCCGAGTGAATCGCACATGTTGGCCACCAACCATGTTGAACCAGCACGTTGTTGAACAACTTGATGAGGAGGTTGGACCTTAAATAGAGAGAGAAAGGCAGTGGCCTTGTGGACCGGGCGAGGGCGGGGTGGGGGCGCCCCAGTGCGTCAATTTGCGTTTGAAGAACAGGAAAAGACCATAGCCCGTTAGCACTCGGGGGGCGATGGCCTTCTTAGTGGCGGCAGTGGGTTTCCTAGTTAGGACGTCAACACGGCACATGCTGGTGAAGTTTGTCGAGAAATTAGTTGGAGCGATACATTTGAATCGATTCCGTGCCACGCCGAATTGGACCACTGCGAACCATTCAACTTGATTGCTCCTCACCACACGGGTGTTGGCAACGCGCATGTGGACTGCGTTATTGTGGAGGTTGGTTGAATTCATGCCTTGGTATCATAATATATTTATGTTGTGTACAGGTCGCATCTCTACGATGGGCAACAGCGACTGGGCGTACGTGCTCGCTGTGGTGTGGAGTGGGTCGCGACAGCGCAAGACAGCGGCATAAAGCAACAAGTCGACTGAATATGTATAGGTGCGATCGGACATCGACCGAACGGTGTCGTGCGACGAAGATACAAATTTCACGAGTACGTTTCATGTTTTCAATGATCTTAAACCCACAATCCACGACGCCGACGCGTGCGCGGACGAGTGCACCTCCACTCACTTGGTTGACCACGCATCTCGTCGGTTGCTTTATCCACGGAGATGGGAGGACGAAAAGAGTCAGAACACCCGGTTCTGTCGAGAACATCCCCACTGCCCTGTCCATCAGGTCGCAGGATGGTCCAGCAACAGTAGGAGGTTCTTTGTGCCTTTTAGAGGCCTTTCCTCATGTCGTAGTCAGTTGCAGCGAAGGCCACGTCACATCATTAGGACGTCGTGACCTCATTGACCAGTTGGCCTACTACACTGACTGATGGGCTTCGCCCACCGTTCACTTCTACTTCTATTACGAGAACCCCTATCTCCTCAACTCCGTGTTTTCTCTTCGCTACCTGCCCCTCCAACTAAAAGCATGCGAAGAACACGCCGTTGCTGCCGTCCGTGGGCTTGCCCCAAATCAGATCGAGATGCAATTGGGTTCAACAGAATCGTCGTCTGTCGTCCAGCGCCGCCAACGAGGCTTGAGGACCCCCCGGCAGCGACGGCCTTGGTGACTACCTGGCGAGGTTCACATGTTGCTAGACGAACTCGTGCGTGTCTTCTCGAGATATTGCTCCGGTCGCGCGGACATTCGCACGTCGTTCGTGCGGCGGCGTCGTCGATGACGTTCAAAATAGTCCAAACCCGCATCCCATTCTTTGAAAAGTTCGTCATACTTATATATTTTGAACGTTTTGGCATACCAACTATTTCGCTGACAACGTGGCGAAACGTTAGCAACGGCCTGCGGTCGGTCCCTCGTGACTTGCGCTGGCGGGGTGCACTGATCTTTGCAGGGGGGCAAGAGCGCGACGTTTTTTTGCCATCCGGTGTTGGAAACTGGACGATCGTCGTCCTGTGGTCTTCCAGGTGGTCTTCCAGGTGCGCGCGCAACCAACCAGCTGGACGTATGTCGAGCCTCGAACAAGCCCACATCTCGTGGTTGGGTCGTCCACTCTCCACGGTGGGTCGAAGCGAAAACGTCGGAGCCATGGATAGCTTTGTCACGACGTTTTGGCGCCAGTGATCTCGCCAGGAAGGTTCCCATCCCCCGCGACCCCCTCTACCGGCACCAACACCCCACGACCGCTGGCCCGGTGCCGTTTCTTGTGTTGGTATGTATAAATTTCGAACCCCCTGGAGCACGAGATGCGCCATTTTAATTGGGACATTTTTCCGTCCAACTTGAGTTTTGTATGGTGTAAAAAAATGTGTTGAAGGATTTGAACCGGACGAATCTCGCCAAAACCACGCAACATCAACATCACTCACGAACGTGCTTGGTCTTGCAAGGATGGCCCCCAACCTCGAAGTGACGTCGACGGCTGCGTCTGTGGCTACATGGAGGGACCAGCGCGCCATGGCAATCACGTCGCCCAAGGGCAGTTACTCGTACAGCAGCGGCAACTACGGCATGCGCCTGTCCAAGCCCCTGGATCGCAAAGTTGCCCGACGTCCTGTCCCCGTTGCCATCCCCGAGGTATATAAGGCGCGCGACCGACAATGCGTCGGTGGCAAGAAGATCCCGTTCACACGCTTCAACACGATCGCGTGTCGTCGCAAAGCCCTCAAGGAAGACCTGGACACTATCCACGAATCGGTCTACTACACCGACGTCAAGTGGGACGACTTGATCCCGAACCTCGACGACATGCTTCACGTGGACCCACGACGGCACATGGCAATCACGTTCATCCAGTGAATGCCGCGGCGGCGCCCCCCTTCCGATCCCCATCGCCTACGTAACTTATGGACGACAGCTAACGACGTCCGCTCCCCCGAAGGAAGGGCAACGTCATACTTGAGGACGTCACTGCGCCCAATCGACTCCACCATGTTCGGTGCTCGTGGCGTATGCACCTTACTTAATATATAGGCTCCAGGATCCCCACGAACCAACAGAGCGCGCTCGGCCACTTCTGTGTTGCTTCGACCGACCTAAGTGATCGTTGGTCACACCAGTCGTGAGAGATGGAGTTATCACATCATTTAGTCAGGTGTCTGGAGCAAGGAGACTGCATGCAGTGGAGATGCCACATCGTTTTTTCGCATCGCAACGTCACGAGATGCTAGCGCCTTTGTGCTGTGCGTCCGATAAGTGACTAGGTGGGTCGGGAGCGAGCAACCATTACCGATGGGGTGCCACCTACTTGATCGATATGTCTCATCAACAGGCACACCAGCACTTAGCAGCAGCACTTCTCCCTTCGACTCCAACACACTTCAATCGAGTGTTGCTCCAGGGTACCCTTTAACACGCCACAACGCGTGACAACGTCATGGATTCGATGTCTGCTGCCTAGGGTGTGGGTAGGATCGAGATCTTGTTGCAGCACGTCTGCAGCGGCGAGTATTGCCGCACGTAGAATGCATCCTTCTCCGAGCATCTCGTGCCTTCGGCGACCTTGATTTTCGTCAAATTCAAATGGCGAGCTCATGGATATTCAAGCTTTTGATTGGATAAAAAAGACGACCAAGTCCTGAGCTATTGGACAAAAGCTTCGGTTTTTGACGAATCAAATGGCCTTAAGTCAGGAACCTCGCCACCTTACATCCCCCAACTCGTCCACCGAGAGCAACGCGGAGCCATGAGCCGACACTCCAAGAACAACACGGCCACGCATCACTTCACGTACCGAGAAAAGGAAGCGGCAGGGCATGGCACACTCAAGCGCCGGTACGGCAAAGACTCCCAGCTCGCTTTCGGTTGTTGCAGCCTGTGCCTGAAACCCATTCTCGAGAAAGAGGAACCACTCGCGAGTCCATGTGGGTTTTTATACTGCAAGGGGTGCATTTACGCCAATTTGCTCGCACAAAAGCAGCAGATCAAGCTTGACCTGGCTGCGTATGAAGCGCAGGAGGAAGCCAAGCAGGCCAAGGAAGATGCAGAGGCACTCGCAGCAGAACGACAGCTTCTCGAATCGACGCTCGGGGTGAATCGGCAAGTGGACTTTATCAAGAGCGCCGACGACCGCGCTCGACTGCAATTGAGCTCAAAGATCGACTTGGAAACCACTGCCGAGAAGGCGAAGGAACTGCGACGCACATCGTTCTGGGTCCCAGGGTTCACTCCATCGGCAGAGGTCGTTCTCGCCAAGCCGGACGAGTTCACAAAGGACCCGATGAGCGGAAAAGCTCTCAAGCTCAAACAGCTCATGCCGGTGCACTTGAAGCGCTCCGAAGATGAGACCAAAGGCGAGACGGTCGTCATGTGCTCGGTGGGAACGTCGCCAACTCAGTCCTCGTGTGGTGACACCGCTCTATGTCTAGGTGAGCAACAAAGCGATAACGCACCAGATGCCCGTACTTCTGCGCCCGTCGGGCCATGTCATCATGGAATCGCTGCTCAAGGACATGGTGCTGCCGACCATGACGTGTCCGATATCTGGGCTCAAGCTGCGTCAAAAGGACATCGTGCACCTACAAGCCGGCGGGTCCAGCTTCAGCGCGCACAGCACGGTCGAAGCGAAAAAGTATCGACCAAGCATGACGTAATGATTATTTGCATATGGATGCGCGTCAACGAGTTCCATCGCTTGGCTGTCCAAGAGGGGATGTGGCCAAGTCAAAGCGCAGAATACTTGTCGCGACGGAATCCAGGCGCTGTGATCGAGTTCACGGGGCCATACCGAAGACGGAGACCATCTTGCACCTCGTCACACGTCATGCCGCATCGCAGCTGGCTTCGAATGGCCCGTAGAGCGTCGTCATAAAGCTGGGAAACGTCCAGGACATGGACGGACGGCGCTACGTCATGCAGCGCCACGTCCGTTACGACGCAAATGTTTGCCGGGTCCACATCTACCCAGTCGTGAGGCAAGTCCAGTTGTTTGGGACCAACGCACCCAAGTCCATCAGCACATGCATGCGCTCCACCGCACTGGATGCTTTCTGGAAGGCAATGACGTGGACGGCGGCTGGGTCGGTGGAGGCGCGGTCGCCTTCTACAAGAGGAAATGTCATCACATGCGCTACACCTTACGAAAGCGACCAGCACCGCCGTATCGGGCCGTCCATTCAAGAGGCTAGGCATTCAACTGGACGACTGGTGGCCGCGTGGTCGCGAGAGACGTGTACGAACCTCGATAGCGCAACGGTATCCTTTGGGCTTGGAGAAGGCCATGCGCCAGTGCTTGGTACTGGTCCATCGACTCGGTGTGAATGATCACGGGGTGGTCAAGGGCAGGTTTCTCGATCGCGTCGTTGTCTGCGTCGTCGGGGCTAGGATTGGACGTCCGCGAGCAAGAGGCTTCCAGCATGTCGAGCAAGTGAGTTGACACAATCGAAGCCGAGTTCACAGATATGTCCCAGTCCCGGTCGACGAGCATCTCGGGGGCTGTGCTGGGTGACGCCAAGAGGACCACGACTGCTTCCATGCGGCGCATGAACGCTGCCAGGCAAAACACGCTTGAAGAATAGATGGCGATGGGGTGCCTTACCACGGGGACCACGGAAAGGTGCAATGACATGGCGCACTTTTTCTAGGATTGCCGTGGCCTGCGCCGCGCAAGTTACCGAAGACAGGTCGGCTTCCACCAGGAACACATCGCTCCGTGTCGCGTCGAGCTGGTGTAAACACCACTAGACAAATGAATCGTGTCGTGAGGCTTCTTGCAGCTATGGCGAGAAAGAGTACCTGCTGCATGTCAAGCTGGGTGACGTTTGGCGTGGCACGTTCGATTTCTACAATGGCAAAGTGGTCTCCGTGTGCTTGGACGGAGTGTGGAGTCAAGCGGGACGTGGAGGTTGTGAGGCGTACGACCTTTTCCGACGACGCTCTCGAGTCGCGGAGGTGGACGAAGTGGTACAGTACACTGCTACTCGCAACAATGTAGCGGAAGGAACGAAGTGTCTCGGAGAGCACGGACGCGTCGACTGCTTCGGCCAACGAAACTTTGGCCGATTTGAAAATGACGGACATATCGATTGACTTCCACACGAAACTCGGGACGAGGTTGAACACCGCAAACCGACACGCGAGACCGAGCGGTACAGGACGGCGGCATCGAAGACACGCTTCTCCAAACCCGAGTAGGGCAATCGCTCCGGCCGTGAGCCCCATGCTTCTCCTGCAGTCGCTCGAGACGTCGACAAAGTCTGACGTAGATGTCGTCGGCATCGCAATTGTCCAGCTTTGTCCACGACGTTGGTTTGGCGCAATTGCTCGAAATATTTCTGCATTTCTCGCAAAAATCCGAATGAAAATCGCGAAAATCGTGCAAAGAGTGTTTGTTCAGGTCCGCACACCACACAATTGCACAACCAGCCCATGGCATCGGGGCAGAGACCGGCTCGGCATCATCTGGTCGCGACATGGGGGCTGTGACGACTGCTTGGCGATTGTGATGCAGGCCATGAGATCTCACGCATCGAGCGACACACAGATGCGCGGCGGGTGGGTTCATCGAAGAGCATCGAAGCACGTCAACAAGCGTCGTCGTTGCGGCCTGTAAGGAAAAAGACAGTAAGCAGGCTCGGGAAGAGTTGGATCGATGAGCCACGGACATAGCATTGTACACCGATCGGTCCGAACACTTGGCATCGCAGCGGACTCGGGTGCCGTCGCACGGGCAACCACGAGTCGATAGCCTTGCCGACACCCATGATGACACTCTCAAGGTACTCCTGAGTCGCTGTGCACGACAACAAGTCGCTCAACGGGTGAATTTGTCGCGTCGTCTGCGTTGGAGCATATGTTTGTCCGGGCGGTGCGCTTTCGTGGGACGGTGAGTGGCACCACGAGGCCATTGCTGGATGTCGTTCTGCTCAGAGAGATGGCTTCGGAACGACGTTGATTCACACTGCCAAACGTCGGCCCCACCTTTACAACGTCGATCGAGTCATACTTCTTGCGATCCACCCGCAGCGCTTGACAAAGCAAACAGGTCCAAGCGCCGTTGTGCATGCGCCTGCAAGGCGCCAGTATTCCTTGAACGTGCCCCGGCGGCGCCTCGCATGTCGACGTCGACATCGTTGATGATCCTATGGTGGTGGATGTACGGTCGAAAGCATGAGAAGGTGAAAAAGGATACAGCATGACGATCTTGGCCTGACTCTGGTCAAAATAGGGGTGGGTCGAGGACATGTCTTCAAATTTCAAGCGGATTCGATATCTTGAACGTGACAGTGGCGAGACAGCGCACTTTTTTGACCGATTCACGTCCATAAAAGCCGATAAACTCGGCGGGACGGCTCTGGATTGTGTGGCATTTCGCCACTTCACCTTTCGTTTATTGGCACATGCGGGTGGACATATCTGCGGACGAATATGCTGCCCATGCGCGGCACATGGAGTTCATTCTCAAGAAAGCGTTGGCCGACACAGCCAAGTGGACGCGCCACTCGGTCAAGAAGGGCTGGTCGGTCGACGTCGACCGGCACGGGTGGCGCGTGTGCTCAAGGTCGCTGTCGTCGTCGCATTCGTCCCCGCCGAAGCGCATGGTCGTGTGCCTTGGCTGCCACCACACGACCCTCTCGTCAATCCGCGAAGGATTGTACGCGGACAATTCCCGCGACTACCTTGCCATGGCCGCAGTTCTCCACGGGTCTACCTTGTTCGACGCTGCAGTGCTCAACGTCCACTCGACTCGCACCAAAGACGATCCCGGCCAATTCTTAGGCGTCAAGTCGCTCCAGGTCACAGTCGCGGCCAACAAACCGCCCTTGTCGTACTTGTTCCTAGAGTTTAGTGGGACATGCGTTGACCCCGACGGACGTGTGACGTTTTTTGTGCTAACCGAGCCGATCTTGGCGGCATCGACATCATGCCCGACGGAAGCAGTGTCGTGCGTCAAGCTGTACCGGGCGCGGCCGGACAGCGCTGGCGTCGATGTGTTGGTCCGCGCCCATTTCTTCACGGACGGAAGCGCCCAGCAGCACCTTCCGAAGATGACGGCGTGGCGAGGCATGAGCATGACCATCCAAACGCTCTTAGTCAAAGACGTCGGAGTGCTGCTGCAAGAATCGTCGCTGTACGAGTCGCTCGTGCTGACCACGGGAGCGTTTGCCCCTGAATGGGACTTTGCCACGTACGTGCAGTGCCGTCGGCCAGTCGAGCACATCTGCCACACTGGTCCCTGCAACATGCAGCTCACGATGTGTGCCGCAGGAAACGCTGCAACGTGTGCGAAAAGAAGTGCCAGTTTTGGAATCGCCACCACCATTGCCGGTGCTGTGGCCACGTCATGTGCGGGGGGTGCTTGGTCAAGCTCTACTGTGTGGACCGCTCGTCCAAGTCGAAGCAGCACAAGTCGGTGAAGAAGGCCAAGTCGCTGACCGAAGAGAAATTTTGCATGAAGTGCTGGGTCCGCGCACGGGGCGACTCGAGGAAACCAACGTCGCCGCCCGTCCAATCTGTCCGCCATGCGCTCGACACGTTGCACCCCACCATGTCGGCGCTGGAAACGCTCGTCCGTGTGGATGCCCCGAACACCGCCTCGATCGCCGATTGTACGTCGCCGAATACGTCTTGCAACTCGTGTCATGGTGTTCGTCCCAGGGTGGAAGTCGGCGCGCGACGAGGACAGTTTTTCAAACTTGAGCACGTCGTGGATGTCGACGTGTGCGGACCCTATGCACGACCTGCCGCTCTCGACCGTGTCAGCATCGTACCGGTCTCAAATGAGCCGCATCAACAGCTTCAACTTGCTCACGGCGTCGTCGTCCAAGGAAGAGATTGCAGCGCGCATGGACGAAGTGAACGAGTCGATCGCGTTGCAGACCATGATGCTGTCCACGATGACCAACATCTTGACGCCTCGAAGTCCGCCCGCGTCATTCGACGTTGTCGAAGTCCTCGACGTCAGCGAAGCAACCGTGCCATGCGAAAGGGTCGTGTAGTCCGTGTAGGTCTAGTTTATTTAGCATATGAGCATGATTCGAGACAAGGATCGCGAGAGCCGCCCCTTGTGGTGATCATTCAACGAGGGGCGGTCCTTCTACAGATTGGAAGCATGACGCGGTGGAACAAGCATTGCAGCGCGGACGTAGAACGCGTCCATGAAGTTGTCGCCCTACGCAAGAATGTAAACGACCTACCGGCACATGGGCATGGGAACATTGGGCATACACAGCGTTGGCAAACGCAAAACGATATCGAGAATTCAGATCCATAGGTGGCTGTGTGCAAGCATCCGTGGTGGTATCGCTGACGTTCCGTCGCGGTCTCGACGCATCCATAAACAGTAGCGTGTTCAAGCAAACACCGAGGCACTCAGCGCGGGCGCACATGTACCCTCAGCAGCATCAAACAAGTCGTTGTTGTCGCAGCAACGCTCCATCACCAACGATACCGACCTACCTCGTGGGCGTAAGTTTCGCCGAGAAAGCGATGCGCCGCGACCTTGGTCGAGTGTAGATCGATGCGAGATGCCTAGTCATCTGTCCGGATAAAGCCCACGCAAATATCAAGACAATGAGGGTCGATACAAATTCGGACAAAGTCGATACAAACATCAAGACACTTTTGCGATCGGATATTGGATCAAATACGTCAAAATTCGTGGATTATTCCAGGAAATAGTTATGTCAAATATGCTGGCAATTTTGAACGATCGAAGATGGCCACCGACGCCACCGTGCTTGCCGCGTGCGCAAGGTCCATCCTTCCGGCAGCTTGGTTGAATGACATGGAGACAACGATTTGTGAGTCTCAAGATAGACAAGACACGATGGTGCATCTCTTGACGGATACATTTGCCTTGATGTCAAGGAATCCGAGGGAGACAACCGACTTTGTCAGGCAGCACGCGCGCAGTACCGCCCATGAGAAGGACGCAAAAGCTCCTCCGACGACGTGGAAAGAGCGAGGCAACGAGCTCTTTAAGGCCCAAGACTTTGATCGGGCTATCGAGTGTTTTACTCACGGTCTACGCGAACTGACAATCGAGTCTCCCTTCACATCCACATTGCAATCCATCTTGTCTGTACACATCCTATTCCATTCGGCATGACCATCACGATAGGTATACGAATCGATGTGCAGCGTGGCAAGCCAAGCAATGCTGGCAACATGCATACGACCACGCGTCGCGAGCCATTCGAGCCGACTCAACGTATGCAAAAGCTTGGTTTCGTCGTGGTAAGGTCCTTGAAGCCTGCCATGTCACGTCTCCGTCGCTCGCCGCAGAATATGCGGTCCGCGGCGGGTGCATCGAGAGTGCAGCGATGTACTCGATGCCGTCGCTAAGGATCTCCATCACTCGAAGCTTCTCGTTGAGGGAGCTCCGATCGCATTGCTGCCCACGGCCCCCATCATTGACGAATGCCACGTACAGCCTGCGCAGGAAGAACGTTGTGCTGTTTTTCACCCGAGCGTTACGGTGGCTTCCACCTCAGCCATGGGTCGATCGGTCCTAGCCACTCAAGCTATCCCAGCTGGGACAATATTGCTCACAGAATCGCCTCACGTTCTGGCTGTGGGAGTTGCGAACGCCTGTTCTGCGGGCGCCCGCTTGTCGCCGCCGAACCCACTCTCGTGCGATTATTGCAACATCGACATCTACTGCACCGAGGCATGTCGGGCGACCGCGTGGATTGCCGGTCACAGCCAGGAGTGCTCCATACTCCTGCCAGACGGCGTCGAGCTGGATGCACTCTCTCGAGTTTTGCTTCGTCTGGTGAACCGAAGCCTCATGGGATCCCAGGACGATTGGTTTTCGTGGCACTTGGATCTCTCGAACGCGTGTAGCACTCGGCGCTGGACGAGCAACGACATGGCCGCTTTTCGAGCTTTCGTCCACTTCCCGCCGCTTCGACGCCACACCCCTTTCATCAACTCATCCATGC